GGGGGGGCGGGGGGGGGGGGGGGAGGGGGGGGGGGGGGGGGGGGGCGCGGTGGTGGGGTGAGAAAAGCAGGACAGTGGGAAGAAATAATTCAAATCGAGAATCAGCGATGCATCTCTCAGGACGTATAATTCAATTGTGCCCACGACCGGTCCCATCCTTAATATTCTTGTGACCTACTGAAATGCTTGCAGCATCTTTCCTCAATCTCCCTCGATTCGCTACCCACTCCCCCCTTTCTTCCAACTACCCGCCAGTTGGCACCTGCCATGTGCTTCGGTGCCAATCTCCCCCAACTCTCGAACCCAGACAGTCAGTGACAGTTAACAGGCGCCTCAACTTCCAAGCTAAGGTTTAGCTGTAAGTATCCAGGAGAGCCGGGGTCAGGGGATAAATCTTGAAAATGGTCAGCCCAGCTGATAGAGGAGTGAACATTGCTCCCAAAGTAACCAAGGCGAAGGTAGTGACATTTGATGAAAGAGAGTGTTATTTCAAAATAAAGACATACACACAGAGAGAGAGAGAATATTGCAGGCGCGGTGAAACTCAAACGGAATTGATGGCTGGGATGCTCAATGCACGATTGACAACGGCAGGATCAAATTAATTATTTGCGCGGCGTTTTATGTGTTGAGATCATATAAACCAACATTGTATGAGGTGCGAGCCGATCTAACCAGCAGCAGCAAATTGGTCTTGTTCAGATAACATTTCTCCTCCTTGATTCCGGGATCAGGAGATTGGTCGGAGGTGGGGGGCGGTCAGCAGCAAGGACTGAATTTCCGCAATAGCGACCCGGAGCCGACTGAGGGCATTGGAAAGCCACTCTTCAAACAGACCCAGAAAGAAGCAGCGACGCGGCTCACTCCGGAGACTAAATAATAAATGATTTCCGCAGTGATCCCGCAAACATCCCGGGGAAAACGGAGGCTCAAAACCCTTCTCTCCCACCACCCCCCTCCCAAAATAAAAAACCTCTCTCGAAACCTCATTGGCAAATCGAACCTCAGCGACCCCCAAACTCACTGTAACATCAAAGTTCCCAGATTTCGCCAAAGGAATCCTGCTGACCAGACCTACACAATGACATTGCTTCATTAAGCGGCGTTTTGTAGCCCCGGAGGGTTTGGGAGATGAAGCGAGACGGGGATTCTATCATTGCTTCTTGTAAAAGGGGAAGGTGGTTGGGAATAAAGTGGCACGACAGGGACGAAGCTTGCATTGAAGCTCAAACCGCTTTGGTGCAGTGGGGCAGAGAGTGTCAGAGCTGCAGCAGCTATCTCCCTACCTGAGTAGCCTTGTGGAATTGTTTCTTCAGTCCTGCCACAGACATGATTCCTGCAGAAAAAGGAAGCGGACCTGGACGGCCGCTTATTTGGAAACAGGTTTATTCTTGCCTCCCTCGCGGCTCCTTCTCATCTCACTCCAGGATTAAATTACTATCTGCAAAACCAGGATATCCGGACCCAACCTGACGTCAGCTTCTCTTAAAGAGCCAGCCACGTTTCGCCAGCGATGAGAATGAATTAATCCGCGCTGACAGCTAAAAATAGAGACAAGCTATTTTTGTACAGTCGTTTCTTCCAGCGGTACACAATGCTTGGTGTCTGTATTATATAGAGGTAGATATCGTTGCAATCACACAGACATATATGCGGGCATATAGGTCGAAACATTGAAGAGCTGTCCCACAGACTAGCCGAGCAACTAACTATTATAGTGAAACTCGCTGAACCGCACCAGGCGCCAGCAGGAGTGATGGCAGCATGGATTGGGGTCAAGAGAGTGTGGTCCTGCGAGTTGGCGAAATACATTTCGGTCTCCATGAGATATAGACAAGAAGACCTCCTGTTGATTACATTCAACACCCATGCAGTCCCCTCCCCCACCCCGCAATGTGAAATGTCAGATGAAAGACATGCTGAAGGTAGTAGGGCCACAAATGTACTTTGGCTGGAAGAATTCTAACAACAACATTAGCCAGACTGACTCAGTCCTTAAGGTGATATAAACCAGATTGGATTTAGACTAGGTGGTGAGAGAACCAACAAGAGGAAAACATCTACCTGTCCACACCTTCACCTCTCCACCCCACTTTATAGAAAATCAGCAGAACCCTGGGTAACACAAGACAAACATTTTTGTTATACATTAAAGATTTACTTGTTATTTATGTTGTAGGTAGATCTGTCCATGATGCTATTGGTCAGAGTGACCACCACACAGTCATTGTAGTGACGATGTCCCATCTTCACATTGAGGATATCCCCCCACTCAGTTGTGTATCTCCACCACCATGCTGAATGGAATAGATGCAGAACAGATCTACAGCACAAAACACGGCACTGTGAACCATTGTCAACAGCAGAATTGCATCCAACCATAATTTGTATCTTCATGGCCTAGCATATCACACTCCACCATTACCATCAAACTAGTGGATCAACTTTAGTCAATGAAAAGATTTTGCCAGGTGCAGCACCAGTCATATCTGAAAGAGAGGTGTCAACTCATCCAAGCTGCAATGCAGAACTGATGTGAAACAGAGGAGGAAACATTCAAGAAATAGTGTCAAGCAACCCTATTTAGAAGGAATCAGATCAAAGCCCTGTAGTTCTGTCACATACAGGTATGAACATGGCTGATTATTTCCAAAGAAGAGTCATTGGTTCAAAATGTTAATTTTGTTTTCTTCTTCACAGATGCTGCCAGCCTTGTTCATTTTTCCCAACAACTTGTTTTCTTTAATTTCAATTTACAACATAAGCAGCATTTTCCTTTTATTATGGTCATGAATGGCATTGGCCAATCAAATGACAAAAAAAAGAAGCACTACAATATCCCCATCATCAGTATGAGACATCAAGCATGTGAGTGTGAAAAAACAATGTTGAATTGTTCACAACCATCTTCAGCCAGAAGTGTAAGTGGAAGATCCATCTTGACCTTTTCCTGATGTTCCTATCTTGTGCTTTCGTAAAAAAAAGGGCAGCGTGTATAGAATACAGGAAAGGCAAAATTGCAGTGACAAAATTTCAGCAGTAATACCAAAGACTTATGTGGTAGAAATAGCTTTGTCCTTAGCCATGCCATTCCAGTGCTGAACAGCTAGAACACTGGCATCTATTTGGCATTATGGAAAGTTGCCTAGAATGTTCTGTCCACAAAAAAAAAACAGTAAATCTAACACAACCAAATACTGAACTATCAGTTTACTCTCAACCATTAGCAAAATTGAGAAAAGTGTTAATGAGGTTGGATTGTGTGCCTTCAGCATACATGCAAAAACTGATGCAGTGTTTTCTGATGATGTTGCTGAGGGGCAGCATGTGGATTAAAAAAGTAGACAGCAAGGATAGATCCTTGGAAAACACCAGAAGGAATTGTGCAGGAGTGGGAAGAAAAGCCATCACTGTTGTTTCCAATAACCTGTTAATGGAAAATCAGTTTGGCTCCCACCAGTTCACTTGGTTCCAGATCTCATTACAGCCTTGGACCAAACATGAACAAAAGAGCTGAGTTCCAGAGATGAAATGAGGCTGATTACTTTTATATTAAGGGAACATTTGATTTGAGTGCTGCATTAAGTAGCCATAGCAAAATTGAAGTCAGTCTGAGTTGGGGGAATCTCTCCATTGTGTTCAGAATGGCTGCAGCCAAAATGTGCAACTTGAAGGGAATTTGCAGGTGGTGATCACATGTGTCTGTTGTCCTTGTCCTTACAGGTTGTAGAAGTTGAGGGCTTGGGAAGTGCTGTTAAAAAAAAGTTTGGTGAGTTGTTGAAATGCAATTTGTAGTTGGAACATACTGCTAGCACTGTGTCAATCATGGACGGAGTATATATTTAAGGGAGTTGATGCAAACCAAGCAGGCTGCTTTCTCCAAGATGTCATAGAGTCATACAGCATGGAAACAGACCTTTCAGTCCAACCAGTTCATGCCGACCATGGTCCTGAACTAAAATAGGCCCATCTGCCTGCACTTGGCCCATATCCCTCCAAACCTTTCCTTTTCATGAACTCATCCAAATGTCTGTTAAGCATTGTAACTGTACCTGCATCCACCACTTTCTCTGGCAGATCATTCCACACATGAATCACTCTCTGAGTATGAAAGTTGCCCCTCTTGTCCTTTTTAAATCAGCCTCTTGAATGTTTTTGGAATTTTATCCATCCAGGCATGTGGTGAGTATTCCATAACACTCAAATTAAGGCCCTGTGAAAATATTGGAAAGGCTTTGGAGGTGAGAGGGTATGTTGCTTGCCCCAGAATTCCTGGCCTCTGACTTGTGCTATGTTGTGCTTCTGGTCAATGGTAATACACCACCCCTAATAATGGGGATTCAATAATGGTGATGTCATTGAGTGTAAAGGGAAAGTGGTTAGGCAGTGTGTTAGAGATAGATATATTGGAAGGCTTTGTGGCCTAGCACTTGAGTGGCATCAATGTTATTTGCCACTTGCCAGGCTAAGATGTTTTCCTAGTCTTATTGCATATGGACACAGACTACTTCAGTATCTGAGGGCTTGTCACCAAACATCATACAATTCTGAGCTTATGATTATGACAAGGTCAACGATGGAGCAGCTGAAGATTGTGGAGCTGAGGACGCTGCCCCGAGGAACTCTTGCCGAGATATCCTGGGGTTGAGAAGTTTAGCTTGCAACAACCACAGCGATCTTCCTTTGTACAAGGCAAAATTCCAATGAGTGGTGAGTTTGCCCATGATTCCCGTTCACTTCAATTTTGTGAGCATTCCTCAATGCCACACATTCTGAAGTGTTCCTCTGATGTCAAGGACAGTAATCCTAAAGTCCTGGAATTCAGATTTATTTTCTATCTTGGATCAAAGCTATAATGAGGTCTGGCCCCAAAAGATCCTGATAGAAACCAAATGGAGCATCAGTTAGCAAGTTATTGGTGGGAAAATGGTGTTGGATATTACTGTCCTCACTTTCCACTCCACCAGTCTCTGCATTCAAAGGATCTTCCTCCACCATTTCTACCACCTCCAGCCAAAGACCAGCACCAACTTATCTCCCCCTTCTCTTTACTGTCAGCATCCCCCAACGCCATCCCCTATGTGACACCCTGGTCCACTCCTCTATCCTCACCCTTCCAAAACAACAGCTCTCCCCCAGCCTGCACTTAAGACCCCACCATGGCATCTTCTCAAGCAAACACAGAAGGTGTAACATTTGCCCATTTCCATCCTCTTTCCTCATTGTCCAAGGTGCCAAACCCATGTTCCAGGTGAAACAGCATTTTACTTGTACTTCTTTCAATTTCGTCTACTGTATTCACTGCTTGCAATGCTGTCTCCTTTATATTAGCCAGGGCAAACACAGACTGGCTGAAGCAGGGCCAGTCTTGCAAAACAAATCAGCTCTGTCTGTAGAATGGCCCCAACCTTCTAGTTTTTTGGCAATTCAATAAACCACCTTGATTCCCTGTTCATTTTTCCATCCTGGGCCTGCCCCAGTGTAAGCTTTTTCCACTTAGAAATTTCCATATCTTCAGAGTCTGATCTCTATCCTCCATTTTTCTTACATCCCCCGAAAACCATCATTCCTGGATGTGTTTTGTTGGCTTTGCACTCAGCAGAGTAGACCCACTTTCACCTTTTCAAACCTTCACTTATACACATTTTACATCTCTATCTCTCATTTACCACTATTTACACTGCCTTTGTCTTCTGCTCTGAACACCTTCACAATCTGTTCAACTCGCTCTTGCTCCCCATACGGCATAAAAACCGCCATTTCCCATTTCAGCCCCATGCAGTTCTGAAGAAGTCATAATGGTCTTGAAACATTAACTCTGTTTCTCTCTCTACAGATGCTGCCAGATTGGCTGAGTTTCTCTAGCATTTTCTGTTTTCCATTGGGACAGACAGAGAGCATAGACTTCCTGAACACAGGGCTTAAAAAAATAAGAATTGTATTTAGCTTTTAATTGTTAATCACCAAACAACATCCGTGTATTTCAAGCCTATTGCATAGAAAGATTGATTGAAACACTCTATAGATTTTCTGCTTCTGTTTCAACCTAAACTGCTTTGATCCATTTTAAAGCCTCTCACTTCATATTTTTAAATATTCAACTTCAAGAACCTTTAAACTAACATCACACATTTCAGAAAGAAGTGAATGAGATTAAATTGAATTATTGTGGAGCATTTCATTGCAGGCCAGTTGGCCAAGTCAATCTGTGGAATATGTTCAAAGCTGTCATTAAATTTAGCAGACAATCAGCAGACAAAATCATTCAATGGCAGAGCTGACTCGATGGGCCAAATGGCCTATGTTTTATGGTCTGTGTTATAATTTGACTCTGGA